GCGGCCACAACATAACGAATTATAAGTTGTTAACCTAATGTAAATATAAACATTCCAAGAAAATGCTTCTGTCTTCATTCACATTCCGGTTCAACCAATAAAAATCCTTCCGGTTATTCGGCTATTCCCGATGTTTAACAGGAAACATGTAGCGTACGTCCGCCGCATCTATTAGTTATTCGAATTATTTCCGAGTAACCCGAGGCTACCGGAAGTGAATTCTTGTGTCGACAGAAAATCGTGCCAATTATCTGGTCCAAAATATCGAAATTACTGTTATACTAGGATGAAGTTATTGCATGGAAAACCGAAAGTTCTGAAACAGGGAGATAAGTCTTCGGAAACGATATCGAACCAAACAGAGGTCTGTACTGTTGATGATTTTATGTGTCGGCATATACCCGTCACGATCTCAGTGCTACTTCGATTCACCTATCCAATCCCACAACAAAGAATTGCAACAATTTTTACAGGGGGCTGACTGCGAGTACTTGATAGAACCCGCACCCTCAGAATGCAAAGCGAGAGATTATAGACGTCTGCATTTGCGGCGGATGCAACATCCACTTTTGGCACTTAGGCTATCACGAAGTGATGCCACAGATTTTGTGTATCACTCATACTGATGCACAGAATTTCCGTAATATCAGAGGAATGATGCAAAAACCCGAACCCTAACAGTAACACACTTCGTAATACCTAAGGAGTAAGGTTATACTTTATGACTTAGGGTTATACTTATAGGGTTAGGGTTTTTGCATCATTCCTTGATATACTGAAAGTTTGCGCATCAGTTGATGATACACAGAAATCTGTGTATCACTTCGTGATACATAAGGTGCCTAAAGTGGATTTGCGCCTTTGCGGACTACTGTGGCTGTGGCTGTAAATTATAATGGGTCACACGTCCAACTTCCACGTCCAACAAGGCCATGACTGAGCAACTTCTACCTTATAACTGATCTTGTAGTACTAGAACCAGACCAAAACAATAAGTAGATAACCAATTTACTAACTTAAAAAAAGACTGAATACTTATGACTGGTATTTCGCAATACAGGCCCTACACACGCTCCATTCGTTTTGAGTCACATTTGCCAACGGACTGTACCGTGTACGGTGTACCTACTTCCGCACCTATGTTTGCGTTCAACTCATGCTGTTATAAAGATCAAGAAGTCATGATTTTCACACGTGTGATTACTATGATAACACAAGTTGTGGCAGAAAATAATGAAGTAGGAGAATATGTCGTTATAAACACACACAAAAAACAAAAATCAACAAGCATCTCACCTTTACTTTCTGAACGACCATGAGTTTAAAAACTTTATGTTACGTGGCGCCGCCTATCATCAGGTAAGTGCAATTTTGCTTCGCTCAGTGAAAACCCCAAAACAGAGCATTTACTGAGGATGACGCCCAATGAGCCCCTGATTTAGCCCAAATAAACAGCCGTGACCTCTGAGTGAGGGTCAGAGCTACTCAGGTACTACAGTGACTCAGTAGGGGCAGATACTCATAGCAATACCGGCGAATAGATATCTGATCCCGGGGATGTCAGGTACCAGATCGAAAACCCCCCACAAATTTCGGCACCTGCACTGCAACAACAACGCATTCAAATTCTCTTTTTTCCCCCGGATGATTCTAATCTGGAACAGCCTACCCGTGGGTGTTGTGGAAGCAACAGACGTTGACATTTTTAAGTCAAGGCTTCACTTCCACATGCACGCGAACCCACGAGAGACGCGAACTCAAGAGGACACCAGTTGCATTGCACTCACATCATCATTATGCACCTGTTTGTTTATTGGGTTTATCCCTGAAGGCACTTACTACCTTGTCATTATATCCAGTGTAGTGGACACCGACAAGTACGAGAACATAACATAGCCTATAGATTCTGGAGTAAAATAGATATATTAAGGATTATCGTCAACAGCCATTTTAAATTGACGCAATGCAAATAATAAATCAAAATGTTTCATTCAAGCTAATCTTATCGCAGCTCTATAGCAGCTCTATAGCAGTATCTATACTATAGTTACGTTTGAATTTGGGGTAAAGTGAGGTTAGGCGCATAGACGAGTATCTGCATGGAGGTTAGGTTCATGGTGATGGAGCGTTGAGCGGCAGGAATGCAGTGTCTGTATGCGCGCGTGAGGCCGCGGCGGTTATACGTAACGATGTTCGCTCCGGGAGGGCACTCCCTATATATATGAAACCCTGATGGTATCAAGAGCGTACAAAGAAGGTCTTCTTTATACGCTCTTGATGGTATGTATGTGCCGCGGTTATGACCCCACTTTTCACCTCAAAATTTCCGCACTGGAGACCCCCCTTTTCACATATTTCCTGTCCCGGGCATAGGTCCTACTTTTTTCCACACCGGAGACCCTCCTTTTCACATATTTACCGTCCCGGAGCATAGGTCGTACTTTTTTCCGCACCGGAGACCCCCCTTTTCACATATTTTCCGTTCCAGAGACCCCTCCTATTTACATATATGATATTTCCCATTCCTGCGCATATGTCCTACTTTCTCTGCACGTTCCGGAGCTCCTATTTTGACTATTTTTTCTCATTAAGTGGCACATATCTACTCTATAAAATATATTGTGTATGGAGTGCCCCCCCCCCCGGCGCTCACTTCTGCATGCGGCTATTATATAGACATCGCATATGCAGCTTAGGCGACGTCCAGACACAAAATAAACTATAATTAAGCAAATAAAATCTACTTATATATATATTATATATTATAAATTATTAATCATAAATAAACACAGATTATATGAGAAATATGCGACTGAGTAAGAGTAAATAGGCTACATGCACAGGAATCTAGGTCGTCCCAATAATAAGTCAATAGTAAATAAACACGAATTATATTTATTACCAGCGGTTTGATGTTCATGCCCTCTATATCGAATAATAATTCCTAATAAAGTTAATAATAAAAATAATTCCGAATAATAATTCGAATAATAAACGCCGTTCAAATACTCATCTATAACACACAATGTCACCGCTCGCACGCCTCTGTGCACGAATCACAAATACTCATCTATAACACACGATGTCACCGCTCGCACGCCGCACGCACGAATCACAATTAAGGTGATAGTTTTGTGATAAGAAATTGACTTTAATTACCATTCTAATAACAACTGTTATGCACATGGCGCCTACAATTAATCGCTCCAAATATTAGACTCATCATTGTCCCACCTTAGCCGGTAGTTACATGTCTGCCATCTATCATACACGGCTCGTGCACGGAACCGTTTTGTTCTACGCCGGAACAAGCTGAAGAGGCGGAATGGCTTATTGAACCGCGTACACAATGTAGACCATTTGTCAGAGAAATTGAATTCAATACCGCTATATAAAGGACAACGCGACGCGCGCATATATTGATTACTATACTATTATACGACAGATCTGTGTCTTTGCCGGGTTGTTATCCGGTGCGAGAGTCGATTAGGTAACAATAACTGTGACGTGACAGTTTCAAGGCCGGCGAACTTCCGCTGGCCTGATCAGGTGCACGAGTACTTTTAAGTTCTAAGCACTATTGTTTTGAGTCCGTGCGGTTAAACAACTCGTTATGTTTGTTGGTGTCGCCGCAACCATGACGACTGCCTCAACGTGGATACGTCAACTACAGTACATTTTAAGGTGGCTCGGGCTAGTGTATAAGGAACTAAAGAAGAAACGAACTAATGTGTCTCGCGTGGCACGAGTAAATTAAAGCATGGATCTATACTCGACGTTTCCGTGTGGCTAGATATTCATGAACGTATTCATCAAGGACGGTGGCAGGATTACATGGACTGGTCCGCATGTAACAATTTTCCAAAGCCTACATTTACTGAATATTGGCGAGAACGAGCAAAGAAATACAACACAACCCAACGTGTCATGATTTACCACAGCGCCATGGAAAAGGTACCTATAGCTATAATCTCTATCAACCTCCAGTACAACCTTCGCTTGTGAATCACGCTAATAAAACCATGACACAACAACATTATAATTAAATCCCGCGACAAGCTGATTGCAGCAAGATATTTCCCGATTGCACTGGAATAAAGCTACCTCTATATAAAGAAGGGCGCGACGCGCGTATATCTTTATTACTACTATTTATTATACTATTCCTCAGGCGCCCACCCCCTCTCTCCCTCAGGCACCCACCCCCTCTCTCCCTCAGGCGCCCACCCCCTCTCTCCCTCAGGGTCCCACCCCCTCTCTCCCTCATCAAGTTATATTATGAAGATTCTTCAGACGGTACTACACGCTTTAAACGGTGCGCGCGCATGCGCAATATCTCCTGAGAAGAATAATATTTTTCAAAGATTATGCATTTAAAATGAAGAGGAGTTATCCTAGCATAGCTTTATATGATAATATTCCATCAGTAGACGTCACTTAAGAAATAGGAGGAAGACCTTGCATGTAAGGTCTCGGCTGCATATACCAGTCAGTACATAATCTGGCTACGATACTGTTTGGGCGCATGGGCAATACCTCACTAGAGCAGTTATATTTTGTGCTGAATATGCATTTAAAATGGTTAGGAGGTATACCAGCATAGATTTCAATAATTAATTTTTATCAGTAGACCTGTGTTTATAATTAGGAGAGCGCCCTAGCCTGTAGGGTACAAAACACCTACTGTATGCCATCGCGTCCTGCCCCTTTCCTCCCCTGTCTCTCGCTCAGCCTCCTTCTTCTTCTATTGCCCTCAGCTATCTTCTCTGCCGCCTTTCCTCAGTCTCCCACCTCGTTGCTTCTTTATCAAGCTATATTTTGAAGTTTTTTTCAGACGGTACTACATGCATTAAACGGTGCGCGCGCATGCGCATTATCTTCCGAGAAGAAGAATATTTTGCAAAGATTATGCATTTAAAATGAAGAGGAGTTATCCTAGCATAGCGTTATATAATAATATTCCATCAGTAGACATCACTTAAGAAATAGGAGGAAGACCTTACATGTAAGGTCCCCGCTGCATATACGAGCCAGTACACAATCTGGCTACGTTAGTGTGTTAGCGCACACGCAATATCTCATCAGAGCAATTATATTTTGTGATGAATATGCATTTATTATAGTTAGGGGGTATCCTAGCATAGATTTTTATAATAAATTTTTATCAGTAGACCTGTGTTTATAATTAGCAGAGCGCCCTAGCCTGCAGGGTACAAAAAACCTACTTTATGCCCTCGCGTCCTGCCACTTTCCTCCCCTGTTCCACGCTCAGCCTCCCACTTCTTCTACCGCGCCCAGCTATCTTCTCTGCCGCCTTTCCTCAGTCTCCCACCCCCTTTCTCCCTCATCAAGCTATATTTTGAAGTTTTCTTCAGACGGTATACTACATGCCCTAATTGAACGGTGCGCGCGCATGCGCAATATATCCCGAGAAGAAGAATATTTTGCAAAGATTATGCATGTAAAATAAAGAGGAGTTATCCTAGCATAGCTTTATATGATAACATTCCATCAGTAGACATCACTTAAGAAATAGGAGGAAGACCTTGCTTGTAAGGTCTCCGCTGCATATACCAGGCAGTACACAATTTGGCTACGATACTGTGTTAGCGCATGTGCAATATCTCACCAGAGGAGTTATATTTTGCGATGAATATGCATTTAATATCCTAGCATAGATTTTTATAATCAATTTTTATCAGTAGACCTGTGTTTATAATTAGGAGAGCGCCCTAGCCTGCAGGGTACAAAAAACCTACTTTATGCCCTCGCGTCCTGCCACTTTCCTCCCCCGCTCAACCTCTTATGNGGGAAGAACTAAAGAAGAAAACGAACTAAATGTGTCTCGCGTGGCACGAAGTAAATTAAAAGCATGGATGTATAGGCCGCCGTTTCCCGTGTGGCTTATATATTCATTAACCACGTATTTCATCAAGGATCGGTGGCAGGATTACATGACTGGTTCCGCATGTAACAATTTTTCTCAAAGCCACATTTACTGGAAATTGCGAGTAACGAGCAATAGAAATACAACATCAACCCAACGTGTCTATGATTTACCACAGCGCGGTCATGGAAAAGGTACCGTATATCTATAATCTCCTAGTTCAACCTTACAGTAGCACACCTTGCGCTTGAATCACGCTACAAAAAACCAAATGACACAACAACATAAATAAGATCCATCGTACAAGCTTGATTGGCAGCTCAAGAATCATTTCTCGATTGCAACTGGAATATAAGCTACCGAGTCTATTACAAGCCTACCATCTATAATATCAAGCTATTCCTGTCTATATAAAGCTAACTCTTCGATA